TTGAGCAATCCTGAATCCTGAGCGGCCTCGAATGTCGCGACCTTTGTTGGATGGCACACATTCAGGGTACAGAAACAATAAAGTTTACAACAAACTCTATGATAGTTGTCGCTACCCCCAGACCACCCAACGGCACACACAGTCACTCTATAGCCGCTAAGGGACATTGCTTTCCCCCTGGGGCCCGGTCGCGGTTTGGGGTTTGTGGGCTTTCAATCTCAAAAAACGAACAATGGCGCACCCTTGCTCAGTGACACCGCAACACCAAAGTGTGCAAGAACTTCTCAGCAGCAACTACGGTGAACTCTTTGACTTGGGCATACAATTCGCTATCTCGATGGGATAGTTGTGAGTAAGCCATTGAGCAGTACTGCGCTCCAAAGCCATCTTGAGTCAAGGAATACCAGCAGAATATTCCAGACCACCCAACCGAAAAACAAAGAGTGCTCAATCTCAAGGTTTTCAAAAAATACATTTGGCGTGGTTTCCGGTTCAGCCATGCAAAGGGTGATTATGAATATGTCACATGGACCCAAGTCTTCCCTGCTCAACAAGCAGGGATACCATATATAATGTATTATTCTAATTCAGCCCCAAGGGTTACGGCCTGGCAGTGGTTGCCGCACTGGGCCCCCGTGCGAGCTGGCTCTGAATCAAATGGCTGTGTGTTTCTGGAAATCGGACCCCAACATGACTGTTCTCCTCTTGACTTCTCTTTTAAACCGCTAAAAAGGGGCACCCTCAAACAAAAATAATAGGCGTGTCTCAAAACAAGGGTACCCTCCAAAATGGCCACGGTTTCCCGTTGCAGGGCCCTTACCAACCCCCAAAAAGGGTACAAAACCAGAAACACCAAAACCGACCCCCAGTCCGGCGACGGAGGCGCCGAAGGTGGCAGCACCTGGCACACGAACATTCGCCGCGAAGCGGCAGGCGTCAAATCAAGCGTGTTGCCACCTAACACACACACCCCGACTGATTAGCACTTGTTGAAAGGACCAGCTTTTATGGAACTCTTTTTGGGCTTGGAGATCTTGCCATACTCCTCTGCAGGTGTATAACCGAACTCCAAAGGCCATCACTTGTAGAGAAAACTGTTTTGGGGCAGAATAACATGGAACTCGAAAACAGTTTAAAGGAAACACCTTCAGGGGACCGACCCATTTTTGGGCTCCATGTTAAAACAGCGCTTAACCAAAACAAGCAAGAGACACCTACAGGCTCTTCAAAAGGGTGTCTGTCTGTCTGTCTGTCTGTCTGTCTGTCTGTCTGTCTGTCTGTCTGTCTGTCTGTCTGTCTGTCTGTCCCGTCCGTCCGTCCGTCCGTCCGTCCGTCCGTCCGTCCGTCTATGCATGCTCTTCTGCCGGTATCAATACACATATGTCTATGCATGTTCATATGCAGGTGTCTGTGGAAGTCCACCATGCCATTGCCCGTTGCGCAGTTGCGGTGGTGCCACCAATGCCGTGACCAGCCTGCACAGGAACCGCCACCTGGGGTCTCCGGCTGACGTCACCTAAGGCACCCAGCCCAGACCTCCAGTGGATTCCCTGGGGAAGGATATCAAAAGGAGAACCAGCATTTTGGTGGGGTTTCATTCCTGAACAAAGACTTCTCTATGTTTGAAAGTGCATCTTGTGCTTTCCCCTGTGGTGCCCTGCTGCTAGCCTGAGGTTGCCACACCGGCCCTAAATTTCCTGGCTGTGGATTCCTCGAAGTCTTGCCAAAAGGCCAAGGGAACAGAGATTCTCCGGCGAACGTCTTGGCCAAGAAATGGATCAACCACCGAATAACATGGAACCATTCGACGTCTTGGGGGGTCCTGGCGGAAGACCACTTTTCTTTTAAAGGGACCAGGTCCTTGTCAGTGTCCACGTTCATTGGTGGGAGGGTAACACTGAATAAAGGCTCAGGTAGTCTTCAAGCGCTTCTCGTGCCAAGAAACCTTCCTTGTCGCGCCAGAAATGCCGTCTGAAGTCCATTTGGCAGTTAGACCAGTTAGACAGTTCATTGATAGTTTTGTCGAGCACTCAGGGGGAAAAAAACATGGTGTCTGATAGAAATCGAACCAAGGACCAGAGCGTTGAAAACCTACTGGAGGATAGACACTCCAGATTAGAAGTTACCATTGTGAAGACAAGGCCCATTCGATTTCATCATCCTCTTCCTCATCATAAGGATACTCATCCACAACATGTACATGCTTGCACAATAACCAGCCAAGAAATTCGCCAATTATTTTGTTGCACAGCAAACAAACCTATCAAGATGACACGCAACCCTCCGCACACCTTCTGACTTCGCGCATTGGGCAAGTTCTTTGATGCTTGCGCCCGATAAAGGCAGCCAATCATTGGACAACAGAGCACCCTTCTCTAGGGGTGAAAAAAACAAAACAAAAACAGCGCGTAAGCCATCAAATCTGTTACATGTCTCCTCCCAAACAGGTTCCTGACAATCCCCCATCAAACTCTTGCAGGGCAGGTCCAGCGATTGCCTGGGCCTCGCGCGGGAGCCAGGCCATGCCTGATTGATCCACGGTCCGGCACGTCGTTCTACAGTTGGGTGAAAGTAGATGCTGCAAGTTTGGCCTCATGAAATTACCATCTGGTAAGTCGGGAAGTCAAACACAACACCCCCAGAAACAGTCAAACTACTGACCTCGGCAACTCTCATCCAAGTTGGTTTCGTCATCCTCTTTGCTGACGCACTTGCAACGAGAGTTGTGCCATCTACGGTATGGACTCGGTGTGTAGTGGGACTATCCTAGCAGGGCAAGCAGATGCACAGAGCATCAACGCCAAGTACAGAATGATGGCACAAGACTGGGATGGCACTTGCGATATCTCCATGCTATTGATATATTCTTTCATTGTATGTGATGTATGTGTATACATGTGAAGAATATGTATATATATATATATATATATCATGTGATCCCCCCCACCATGCGCGCATGTATATACGTACATATACAGTTCTGGCGGGATTAACCCTAAGTTTTCAAGCTGAAGCATACACCCAGCTGAAAGCTTGACGGCAACTGCGGCCTGATGCACTGCAGGCAGCGGCCGAACCTGGGCGCTCCAAAGGCCAATGGAACGTGTCAACATGCCTGGCCTATCCAACAGACAGACAGACAGACAAACAGACAAACAAACAGACAAACAGACACACAGACAAACAGACAAACAGACAGACAAACAGACAAACAAACAAACAAACAAATCAAACAAGCAAGAAGACAAGAAAGGCTTGGTACAACACACGGCTAGAGTCAAAAGCAAGCTGGATGGCGAAGAACACACCGGTCATCATGTCAACATGCGTAATTTCAAGGGACTTTGCCGGAGCGTGCCGAGTGAATCAGAACGCAAGGCCGCGCAAGCGGACACCTGGATACCATCCTCAGAACTCTTGATGGATTACACCCAGTTTGCAACCCCCCCCCCCCAAAACAAATACTTACCGCGTTTGACGTCTGAATTGACAAGTTGCCCAGGCGTAGGCCACGATGACATGATAGCATGACAAGAACATTTTAGCCCCGCGGGCGCCTAGGCTGCAAGCATAGGACAATCGCGTCAAACCATGTTTCAAACAAAAGAATGAGCCGTTTTGGCGTAGGGAACCGCGCTGGAGGTGTTGTTCGGGAGACCTTTTGCATACACCAAGCATGCGTACCGAGCCACCCCCATGCAAAATCAACAAAGCTCGCTTGATAACAACAGTTGGCCCCAAAAGGACAAACCAACTTGTGGTAGTCGATCTTCAGAGAAATCCTCAGCCCAGTGGCCATAAAAATGCGCTCTGAAAGTTTTTGCAGCTGTGCCTATTTAGATTGGGCTCGGCAAGTCTCGCTGTTGATCGCCCTCACATCGATCACCAAACAGGTTCTTCGTACCAAAGCAAGCAAATCCCCAACAGACAAGCGCGGGATGTGGAAAATATCCAGTTTTATCAGACACGCTGACTGAGGATGGCACCCAAAAAGTCTGACCCCGAAAAAGTATAAAGTCCATGAACTCAGGGAGGGAGGAGAGCATCCCGTTGACTCGAAAATATTCCTTGTGTTTGGGGATTTTCCGCGCTTTTGGAACTCTTCCAGTGGCTGCAGGTGGGGCCCGGGCGCGCTTGGGGGGTTCTAGGGTGAGGGTTGGCTTAGGGCGGTTTAGGTGCGTTCCAGGTGGGTTTAGGGTCGGGTCAGTGTGGATTTATGCGTCTCGTGGGTTTAGGGTTTACTGTTTAGGGTTGGGTTTAGCGCTGGTTTGGAGTGTGCTTTTAGGGCGGTCTGGGGTTTGAGGGTTCAGGGTTGCCTCAGGCGGCAGAAGCGCCTGGACGCGGCAGGGGGCAACGCACGGCCCACAACAAGCTTGAGCTGCAAGGCAGCCCGCTATCTTTTTTTCACTGGCCGGAACTCCTTGACTAAGATAACTACGTCAATACAGCACCGGGAGCCAAAGACTCGGGAGATTGTCTTCGTGTTTGGGAAGAGCCCAAGCGTAATTCAGGACGACCTGATCGGGGCTTCCCGTGGGCAGAGTCAGTCGCGATAAGGCGCCTTTTTTCGGGGCTGGAAAAACGAGGTTGGCCGCGAGCCACCTGACCTGCAATCGCAACGCACTGTGGCAGCCTGCGTCCACGGCTGCCACGAGCCCTTTGCGTCCTTTGTCTTTGTTTCACTTGCTTGCTCCTGCGGGCCCGCACCTCAGCTCCACCCCCACCCCGCGTGCCAGCACGAAGCCCGTGTCCTTGATGTGGCCCAACCTGCAAGGAGTCCTGACTGAGCAAGCGCAAGCGCGTCCAATGCGACTGACCGTCAAGCAATATGTATGTATGTATGTATGTATGTATGTATGTATGTACGTATGTATGTGTGTGTATGTATGTATGTATGTATGTGTGTGTACGTATGCATGCATGCATGCATGTATGTATGTATGTCTGTATGTGTGCATGTATGTTTGTATGTGAGTGTTGTGAATAACATCCTGACGCACGCGCTGCCCAGGCTTGATGGTGATCCTGAGAATGAGGTTTGTAGCCCTGCCCTCAGCTCGCAATGTTCTACTTCACTTTTCCTAGCCCGTTGGATTTTTGCAACGTTCGGACGCCGTCAAGCGAAGCTAGCCTCTGGGTTCAGCTTGTGAACTAGCAAGCGTGTCGCGTGCTTTTATTGCCTTACCGAGAATTTGCACCTTTTTCTTGTGAACCATCCAGCTTCCAGCTAGGTTTTTGTCCGGCGCTTTTTTGCAGCCAGTGACATTTCTTGGAGTGTCCCGTGGCATTTTTTTGGCTCGACTTTTGAATGCGTAGAACTTCGTGAGCGGCGGCATTGATTTCAAGCTGTTATTCGCGATGGGCATGGACCGTGTTTTCTCGGCCTGCGCATTCCTTTCAATGACAAGTTCAAGCTTGGTAGTAAGATTGACATGGGCTGCGGCAAGCTGAGGACAGAGCAGGCTGCAAATCCAACCTAAGCGCGCCAAGCGCTTGATTTTGAAGAATGGCAGACACGATCATCTGCAATTGCTCCAATGTCTTTTTTGTGCGTTGTTCCGCTAAAGCCCTGCAGTGCGACTTTCGAGCACAGCAGCCGCAAGCCCTCCTAAGGCTCACCACGGGATCGAAGCCGCCTGCAGTGGCCCTGAACAAGTTGCCTAGAAACAGCCTTCTGCTTTGGAAGTAGGTCGCCAATCACGGGGCCAGGAGTCGCTCCACCAAGCGTATCCTCTCTCCGGCCGGAACCGCTCCATGTGCGTGACCGGGACCTCAGCGCCGGAAGCCCTGAGGCGGGCAGCCAAGATCACCACGAATGCGACGCTGCGGATGTATGTATGATAGTATGCTAGTAGGCTAGTATGCTAGTATGCTAGTATGTATGCTAGTATGTATGTATGTATGTATGTATGTATGTATGTATGTATGTATGTGTGTGTGTGTACGTATGTATGTATGTATGTATGCACGTGTGTGTAAGCATGTATGTATGTAGCATGTAGATCTCCAACCGCGATGCATTGTTTCAAGTCGGGATCCATGAAGGCGCTCATGCGGGGAGTGGCGGCCGCAGCCCGAGCAGAGCGCTCAGCGCTGCCTTGCAGACGACTGACGTGTCCCATGTCGTGGGCAGGTCAGTCTGGCCCAGGTTGAAGGCCATATTGAGCAGGCAGCGCAAGGACTCCACGAGCCAATCGTCGCACTTTCTCTTCGCTCGAAACAGATCGTGACCGTGGCCTTGGCGTCCGGCACGGGCACTTCCCCAATGCGCCGGATGTAGTCTGGCCACGCGCCAGCGTTTGGCGCGCTGCGCTGCGACAGTGGAGTTGGGGTTGGCACAAGGCTGGTTGAGCTGAGGCTAAGGTGGGCTTAAGGTGTTCCAGTTGTTTAGGGTGGGTTCAGGTTAGTTGGGTTTAGCATGGGCTTGGGGTGGGCAGGTTATAAACGTGGTTTAGGGTACAAAAGTACCCTTTTTTCAGGCGTGATCACCATCGAGGTGCCGCCACCTTGACGAGAATCCTTGGCGGTCGCCTGCGTGAAACAGGACAGACAGCTGCTGAGGGAGCTGTGTGACAGTGCGTAGGTGGGTTTATGGTGCGTTGGGGGTGGGCTTAGGGCTGGGTAGTTCGCAGTTGGGTGGATGCTGATGGGGTTTGGGTTGGTGGGGTTTGTTGGGTTGAGCGGCTTCGGGTGGGTTCAGGTTGGATTTAGGGTAGGTCTGGGTAGGTTGAGTGTAGGTTTGGGGTTGTTTGGGTTGCTGGCTTAGCGTGGGCTTGGGGTAGGTTTGGGGCCGGCTGGGTTTAGGGTAGTCTAAGGTGGCTCGGGGCAGTTGTAGGGTAGGTGGCTTTGTGTTGAGGGTATTAGGGTAAAGGTGCTTCCTTGCTTGCTTACTTGCCTGCCTGCTTGCTTGCGTGCGCTTGCTTATGCTTGCTTCTGCTTGCTTGGTTGCGTGCTTGCTTGTGCTTGCTTGTGCTTGCTTGTGCTTGCTTGTGCTTGCTTGTGCTTGCTTGTGCTTGTGCTTGCTTGTGCTTGCTTGTGCTTGCTTGTGCTTGCTTGTGCTTGCTTGTGCTTGCTTGTGCTTGCTTGTGCTTGCTTGCTTGCTTGCTTGTGCTTGCCTGTGCTTGCTTGTGCTTGCTTGTGCTTGCTTGTGCTTGCTTGTGCTTGCTTGTGCTTGCGTGTGCTTGCTTGTGCTTGCTTGTGCTTGCTTGTGCTTGCTTGTGCTTGCTTGTGTTTGCTTGTGCTTGCTTGTGCTTGCTAGCTTGCTTGCTTGTGCTTGCGTGTGCTTGCTTGTGCTTGCTAGCTTGCTTGTGCTTGCTTGTGCTTGCTTGTGCTTGCTTGCTTGTGCTTGCTTGTGCTTGCTTGTGCTTGCTTGTGCTTGCTTGTGCTTGCTTGTGCTTGCTAGCTGGCTTGTGCTTGCTTGTGCTTGCGTGTGCTTGCTTGTGCTTGCTAGCTTGCTTGCTTGTGCTTGCTTATGCTGGCTAGCTTGCTTGCTTGTGCTTGCTTGTGCTTGCTTGTGCTTGCTTGTGCTTGCTTGTGCTTGCTTGTGCTTGCTTGCTTGTGCTTGCTTGTGCTTGCTTGTGCTTGCTTGTGCTTGCTTGTGCTTGCTTGTGCTTGCTTGTGCTTGCTTGTGCTTGCTAGCTTGCTTGTGCTTGCTAGCTTGCTTGTGCTTGCTTGTGCTTGCTAGCTTGCTTGTGCTTGCTTGTGCTTGCTTGTGCTTGCTTGTGCTTGCTTGTGCTTGCTTGTGCTTGCTTGTGCTTGCTTGTGCTTGCTTGTGCTTGCTTGTGCTTGCTAGCTTGCTTGCTTGTGCTTGCTAGCTGTGCTTGCTTGCTTGTGCTTGCTTGTGCTTGCTTGTGCTTGCTTGTGCTTGCTTGCTTGTGCTTGCTTGTGCTTGCTTGTGCTTGCTTGTGCTTGCTTGTGCTTGCTTGTGCTTGCTTGTGCTTGCTTGTGCTTGCTTGTGCTTTGTGCTTGCTTGTGCTTGCTTGTGCTTGCTAGCTTGCTTGCTTGTGCTTGCTTGTGCTTGCTTGCTTGCTTGTGCTTGCTTGTGCTTGCTTGTGCTTGCTAGCTTACTTGCTTGCTGCTTGCTTGTGCTTGCTTGTGCTTGCTTGTGCTTGCTTGTGCTTGCTTGTGCTTGCTTGTGCTTGCTTGTGCTTGCTAGCTTGCTTGCTTGCTTGCTTGTGCTTGCTTGTGCTTGCTTGTGCTTGCTTGTGCTTGCTTTGTTGTTGCTTGTGCTTGCTTGTGCTTGCGCTGCTTGCTTGTGCTTGCTAGCTTGTGCTTGCTTGTGCTTGCTTGTGCTTGCTTGTGTGCTTGCTTGTGCTTGCTAGCTTGCTTGCTTGTGCTTGCTTGTGCTTGCTTGTGCTTGCTTGTGCTTGCTTGTGCTTGCTTGTGCTTGCTTGTGCTTGCTTGTGCTTGCTTGTGCTTGCTTGTGCTGGCTAGCTTGCTTGTGCTTGCTTGTGCTTGCTTGTGCTTGCTAGCTTTCTTGCTTGTGCTTGCTTGTGCTTGCTAGCTTACTTGCTTGTGCTTGCTTGTGCTTGCTTGTGCTTGCGTGTGCTTGCTTGTGCTTGCTTGTGCTTGCTTGTGCTTGCTTGTGCTTGCCAGCTTGCTTGTGCTTGCTTGTGCTTGCTTGTGCTTGCTTGTGCTTGCTTGTGCTTGCTTGTGCTTGCTTGTTGCTTGCTTGTGCTTGCTTGTGCTTGCTTGTGCTTGCTTGTGCTTGTTGCTTGCTTGCTTGCTTGTGCTTGCTTGTGCTTGCTTGTGCTTGCTTGTGCTTGCTTGTGCTTGCTTGTGCTTGCTTGTGCTTGCTTGTGCTTGCTTGTGCTTGCTTGTGCTTGCTTGTGCTTGCTAGCTGCTTGCTTGTGCTTGCTTGTGCTTGCTTGTGCTTGCTTGTGCTTGCTTGTGCTTGCTTGTGCTTGCTTGTGCTTGCTTGTGCTTGCTTGTGCTTGCTTGTGCTTGCTTGTGCTTGCTTGTGCTTGCTTGTGCTTGCTTGCTTGCTTGCTTGCTTGCTTGCTTGCTTGCTTGCTTGCTTGCTTGCTTGCTTGCTTGCTTGCTTGCTTGCTTGCTTGCTTGCTTGCTTGCTTGCTTGCTTGCTTGCTTGCTTGCTTGCTTGCTTGCTTGCTTGCTTGCTTGCTTGCTTGTGCTTGCTTGTTGCTTGCTTGCTTGCTTTGCTGCTTGCTTGCTTGCTTGTGCTTGCTTGTGCTTGCTTGTGCTTGCTTGTGCTTGCTTGTGCTTGCTTGTGTGCTTGCTTGTGCTTGCTTGTGCTTGCTTGCTGCTTGCTTGCTTGCTTGCTTGCTTGCTTGCTTGCTTGCTTGCTTGCTTGCTTGCTTGCTTGCTTGCTGCTTGCTTGCTGCTTGCTTGTTGCTTGCTTGTGCTTGCTTGTGCTTGCTTGTGCTTGCTTGTGCTTGCTTGTGCTTGCTTGTGCTTGCTTGTGCTTGCTTGTGCTTGCTTGTGCTTGCTTGTGCTTGCTAGCTTGCTTGCTTGTGCTTGCTTGTGCTTGCTAGCTTGTGCTTGCTTGTGCTTGCTTGTGCTTGCTTGTGCTTGCTTGTGCTTGCTTGTGCTTGCTTGTGCTTGCTTGTGCTAGCTTGCTTGCTTGTGCTTGCTTGTGCTTGCTTGCCTGCCCAGGCGACTGGAAACAAATCCCAATGCAGTAGGGGGAAGAACATAAATATAATATAGCACCCATATTGAAATATCACTTGGTATCACCGAAAGTGGGTCAAAACCAATGCATGACTCCCTGCCACCCACACAACTTGAGGCCGGGACTGGCATGATGCCGGGGGTCATGCCTCAAGGCAGCTCCAAGTCATTTGAAGAACGTCTCTTCTGGGCTTGAGAATGCCCTTTCACCAACCACAGATGGCTTGAACAAGCAAACCCGGAACTCCGAAACACCGAAAAACAACATTCTTGCACACAAACATTGGATATGGTGTTTTGGTCAGCTGGCCTGAACCAACCGCTGCCACATTCATGTGCTTGCTGAGACAGGAAATTCAAGTTGACCTTATCCGCGATGGAGTTCGTGCACTGTCCGAGACGCACCGTAATCACCAAAAATGTCACTCCTTCCTCTTATTAGAGCCCCACAAAAATTACCTGTGTAACCAACAAAACTACTGGGGGAAAAACATGTTTATTGTCATCGGGTGCCGGGTTCCAGGTTTGGGGTGTCAAGTCCTCCTTGCTTTTGGTCACCTCTGGGTGTGTGCGGGTCCGGTCAGCTTTTGAAGTGAGGGACCGCAGCCAGTTCTTCTTTCAAATGGCTGCTAAAACGAGAACGTTGCGAGCGTCATATTGTAGCCTACGTTCAGTTGCCCGTGCTGCCATGCCACGTAGATTCGAAAGACATGTTTGTGCGAGAACGAACAGGCTACACACACACACATTCCCACCAGGTCTGCTTCATTCCAAGAGCTGGCCACCAGTTGCAACCGCTGGATGAAGAATAAGCGAACCATGCATCCGCACGATCACTACGGTGAATCTGCATTGCTTGTTTCCTGCCAAAGCAACGTGCATGTACATAGCACCAGGGACATACTAATCACCAGCATTACCTTTGAGGATCATGACTTAGTTTGGTCCTTTGGCACATCCCCGTTGTAGTTATTTAGCCTCCTTGTGTATTACCGTTTGCGAAACTACCTATGGGAGTTTCTCAAAACTGTGGACCCCCTTTTTGGGTTTTAAAGGGAAACCAAAAGAATACCGACCATTTAGGGCCCCCCCCCCGCACATTTTGAGAAACACCGTGTAGTTACTTTCGCAAAACTGCCGTGGGTGGACGAATTCCAGCACCGCTCGTTCTGCAAATTACCAACAAACAACGGTTTCAACCATGGTTTCATTTCAGCGGTGCGGAGGGATTTCGTCCATCCACAGTATGACCACAAACGCCCAAAGCAGCGTACCACTTGCCCTCTCCTGGTGTAGCCGGAGATGGCGATGGGGAAGGAAAGCCTGGGGACAGTGATTCTAACATTCAATGGCCGGCCGAAGTGTCTACTCGAAGCATCACATTGGAGCAAACAAAAGACTAGCAGCTCCTTTCAAACATATATTGGGCAGCATACCTTGATTTTGTCAACAATATCAGCCCATGTCCGCCGACAAGTGTGCGGGACACTTGCTGCCATCCACAACGATTGTGAGGTATCAAACTAGACTGGAGCCTATCTGGGCACCATTTGCTGCCTCTGTGCGGTTTGCTCTCCCAAGAGATTCCGGCTTGCATTCTTGTCCTTTTGGCTCCTTCCATCAGAAAGAATAAAGCCATTCTAGTAAATCCAATGACAAATTCAGCAAATCTGGAAATGTCCAGGTTTGCCAGACACTGACCAAACGTCAAAGATATTTGAGAGAAATCTGGTCACCTCACAACATGAAGTTGTCTCCTGACTTAATCATTGAGTTGGAATTCTAGGATGTGTTGCGAAACTTGGGAGGCCATGGAGGAAAAGGAGCCCAATTTCTCTAAGTACCTTTTCCCAAAGCAGCAAGGTGTCACCGATCCCATCTAGTCGACGCCTATTTGTTTCTTCCTCCCGCACACTCTTTCCACAAAGGGATGAGTCTACTGTGCTCCAGGTCGGCAGCCCCCTTTCAGTGAGGTTTGGCTTTGGTATTGGTTCAGCATGCCAAACTTGGCTTGCTGGTGCTCTGGGAATGACCAAGCGAGTCACCGAGTCTGTGAATGGACCGGGGCTGCCGAATACAGGAAACCATGGGAAATGGATGGGCTTTCTCGGGGTCATTGAGCGGCGGCGGCTGGGAGAAGGCAGCTGGCGGAGTGGGAAGGCCGAAAAGGGGTGCGGAGGATCGTAAGGGGGGAGGGGGGACTTGCAAACCACGTAGCTGGAACATGTATGTTGTAACATATGTATATGGTTACCAACCTTGACTTGCCCGGGTGCTGATTGTGGATCAAATCGTGTTTTGTCCAGTGCAGAAGAAGGCCCCCCGACTACTGTCATCCCAGCCGTCGTGTGTTGTCCTTTGATGGCAGTCGTGCACTAGGTGTATAAATGCGTCAGTGCGTGTGAGTATACGTGTAGTGTTATGCTTGTATACTATTAATATGATGCTCCTCACGCATTGAATCATGGAAATGCGCAGGTTTCCAAGGGAAAACTATCAGCAAAACGCGTTGCCATGCAAACACTTCCGACACCTTCGTCATGCCAATCCTGCCGGACCCCCCACCCCTTTTCCGCTGGCAAGTTGCTCCAGGGTGAGCGCAAATCTGCCTAGGCCGGAAGAAGCACAAACAGTATCCCCACCTTAACTGGCAAACACCTGGGGCCCGCTCGCCCGCCCCATGCATGTAGATATATCTCTTGCAACCGGGAACAAGCATAAGATAACTTTGGGAGACGCCTCCCGCAATTCCGTACAGTAGAAAGTGGGCACCTAAAGTGCCTTGCCTTCGCCTTTCCCTGGCCGTCGCTGCCACTTCAACCCTGCCAAACTTAGATTCCCTGCACAAGCTAACGTGTTTCTGTAAGGGAACATGAAAACACACAAAAAAAGACAAAGGCAAAACATCAAGGTTGATGACGGTAGTTGAAGCATTGAGGTACAGTACTTTCTTGTTCTCCAGGCGATACATCTTTAGTCACAGCCAAACCACCTGCTACCCTGGGATGAGATTTGATAAGCCAGTTCTCTGGGGTAATTGCCTTCGGAGCCAAAGGATCAAATCCGAAACATCTGGAGAGTGTTCAGGACTAATTAAACACAACCCACAGTGTTTCGCCAGATCGACGGTTCAAAGCTGTGCGGGTGCATCGATTCGAAAGGGGAAAGGGCGGGGCGTCCTTTGTTTTTGAGACACAACCCGTATGGCAGGATATTGCAAAGCAAATCGCAAGCATCCCCCCCTTTTCTAGCGCCGTTGGAGGTCCATGATGGCAAAGCCCTGGACAAAGCCCTGGACATTACTTCCTGGCAGTTGATCAGGGCGGAGGTTAGTTCTAATCTTCACCCACCCACAGCGCTGATTGAACCATGGCTGAAATATCATCTCAGGTGGCAACACCTGAAGACATGAGCGGGCTTGAAAGAAGACATGGACCAGCAATATGTCAATGCTGGCGGCTCTTAGGTGAACCCAGGCTCGCTTGTACTCAAATGCCGCCTCAGCTTTCAGAGTTGGGTCCAATATCGGCGGTTGGGAGATGGCCTCACAAGAAACTAACTGTTTGTCGCAGGAAAAAGGTCTAAGCCCAGGTCAAGCCGGAAGGGCAAACAATCCTTGGTTGCTGTTGACCCTTCTGGACAAAAAATGAAACTTGTTGTGGGTTCAATGGAAAACCCTTGTTTTCCCGACAAAGGTTCAAGTCTACATATCCAACCCACTAGCAATCAAGAAATATTGGGCGTACGAAACCAAACACATACCAAACCACGGCATAGTAATGTCCTTGGTCAAAGCTCCTTCTATAAGCCAGGAACATGGTTCCGTCAACAGGAATCCCATCTATCCGTCGTTTTGGGAGCCACTGGAGAAACCGGTGTTTGCATGCACATAACTCACATATCTGATACTCTTCAAAGTCCCAAGCAGGCCTCGTGGCCTCGTTTGGCTGTGGTTGCCCATAAGTTTTGTTGACTCTCGGCCATTTGGGGTGCCTCTGGAGTTCCGAAAGTTCAGTTGAGATCCCATCTTCAAATGCTGCCCGAGGCCCAAACGCACACAAAGGGCCGCGACATGACCGTGCACGTGTTCCAGCGAACAAATTGGTGCCCAGACTTTTCGTGTCCGATCTACCTCCATTGTTCTGGCGTACGAATCTTTCAAGTCAACTCGAGGAAAACATCGGAAATGTCAATCTCATCCATGGATCCGAAGGGGCGGGTTTAAAGTTGAACATGGCTTCAGGCCAATGAGTCCTGAAAGAAAGAAGCTGAAGTGAAGCATGGGATCTAAAGGACCAGTCTGCAAAGTCCACGCACAAATTCAACATCTGAATCTGAAACACGAATTGGATCCGAGCAAAGGACCTTTACATCTCGTATTCTGCGCTTGTTTTACGCCCGGAATGCGTGGAATCCCTCGCCCGCGCCGTTGCTCGTGCCAACAAAAGAAGAAACGGCCAGCTGCGGGCGGGCGGTCAGGCCTTCAGCAGGGGGGGCGACGAATGCAAAACAAGCTCTGACCAGCTAGGAAAAACTTGAACTGGTTGGACATTCACTAAAATGAGCAAGAAACCCGCCCAACAAAAAACATATTGGCCGACCCATCCACTACGAACGTTTTGCCCAGGGGTTGGGCGGCCCAATATTTTTTTTCACGGCATTTCGTGAAAACCCTGGGCAAGTGGATCCATAACCCCGCACCCAGCGGAAAATGACAAACCTCAGATGAAATTGCAAGCGCTCTTCATCTCCCTTACTCCCTGCCCTCAGATTGCACATCACTTAGGGAAATCTCGCTGGCTTTGCAATCCGGTGCCAGGAGCGTTGATTGAACCATGGCCCCAAATGCCATGACATGAACATCTAGCAAGAACCGGATGTCATAGAGATTATGGGCGTACTGCATGCTTCACAATGGACATGTTGCAAATGACAAAGCAAGACGAGCTGTTGGCTACTCTGATGCACGCTGTCATTGAGTGACATGCCTTTTTGACTCCTCTTCTGCACGGCTGCGACTGAAGGTGGCTTTTTGACTACCTCGAGGCGTGCCATAAAATCAATGGCACAGCACGCTCCTGCGACTTGCAAGCGCAAGGTACGCACTTCACACGCGCGCTGTACGCCTAGCCCAATTGGGATTGTCTCAAAATCAGAGAACCCCCAAAACTTGGCCCAAAATGGTTGCTTCTCTTTTTGAAACAGGCGCGATGCCCAAAAGAAAACCACACCCATAGGGCGAAGCCAAGTCTCCGGCTTCTTAGGGCCCGAACCGAGCCCATCCGAACCGAGCCTATCCCATCGGGACCTTTGCCCGGAAATCCTGCTTGTTCTCCCAAAGGTATTTTGTTTTCCGTGAGTCCATAGACT